TTTAAGAGAGTGGAGAATGTTATGTTTGGTTGTGGTCATTGGAATAGAGGCTTGTTCCATGGGGCCTCAGGATTGTTAGGACTTGGGAGAGGGCCTCTTTCATTTTCCTCCCAGCTTCAGTCTCTGTATGGTCACTCGTTTTCGTATTGCCTGGTTGACAGAAATAGTGACAGTAATGTGAGCAGCAAGTTAATTTTTGGCGAGGATAAGGACCTCTTGAATCACCCAGAATTGAATTTTACTACATTGGTTGGGGGCAAAGAAAATCCAGTAGACACATTTTATTACGTTCAAATAAAATCGATCATGGTCGGAGGAGAAGTGCTGAACATCCCAGAGGGCACTTGGAATTTGACCTCGGATGGTGTTGGGGGTACAATTGTGGATTCCGGCACCACACTTAGTTATTTCGCAGAACCAGCCTATCAGATTATTAAGGATGCATTTGTTAAGAAGGTGAAGGGCTATCCAACTGTACAAGATTTTCCAATTTTGGATCCTTGCTACAATGTCTCTGGTGTTGAGAAGATAGAGTTGCCCGATTTCGGCCTTCTGTTTGCTGATGGCGCAGTCTGGAATTTCCCCGTCGAGAACTACTTCATCCGGTTAGATCCGGAGGAAGTTGTTTGCCTGGCAATTTTGGGGACTCCTCGATCCGCTCTTTCAATAATTGGCAACTATCAGCAGCAAAATTTCCATGTTTTGTATGACACCAAGAAGGCTAGGCTGGGGTATGCACCAATGAACTGTGCAGATGTATGACATCCTAATAGAATCTCCTAATGGTAGGAAACAAACTGTACACATGGTGCTCGGGAGGGAGATTTTTTTTGTTTTATTTCCTTTAAAAGTAGGGTATAGATTCATTTTTTCTTTCTTTCTTTTAAGTTTCAGATAATTATACTCGCTATGATCATGAACACGACCTCAAGCTGCTTTACAAAAATGTATTATTGCACTTTAACGAATCTCTTTTAGAAGTTAATTTAGTGTTTCTTTTTGCCTAGTTGTATAACTTAACTGAGATAGTTTCCTTGACAAATGACTTGTGTGATTTACACCTGAAGACCATCAGTGGTTCATTCTTGTTCAAACGAGGGCTTGATGTCCACTGGTCCTGCAATCCTGCCCCTGTAATCAGGCATTCTGTGCTGGTACTTCATTATTCACTGGTTGCTCAAAGACTAATGCCCTCTTCCCCACCAACCCCAGTATAAGATATATTATTCAAATAAGGAAGAATGGTACAATGGCTGTTTCCTAATAATGTTGTTCTGCCATAAAAGAAGAACAGAAAGTCGCCAACCTTTTTAGGCATGCCATTTGAACAGTGAATACTATATGCGAGGAAAGGGTCAATGTTTTGCTGTGTCTCCTTATTTCATAATGGCGCACTAATCCTGTCTCCAAATGCTTGACGGTAGCTTTTGTTGAATAAACAGGTTCCTGGAAGGAAATAACCGCGCTTTTAGGTGCAAACTTAAGGTTTAACCTCGCGTTTGAATTCATTGCTTTTCAGTTTTTCCTCGAACATGTTTCCTTGGCTCACCAAAGTCCAGGTTCAAACCCAAGACCTCTCCCCCCATGAGAGAGTGAACAACATTCGTCTAACACTAAACCAGAAGAATTCTAATCTCACATTTGAAGCCAGTGTTTATTCTCCTCATAAAGAAGAAAATAATTTGCTGATAAAACTATGTTCAAGCTTGCTGTCTCTTTTGACTTGAACATCTTGTTTGAAAACTGATTATCCTTTTAATGACATGAGCATGAACTTCAACAAAAAGAATAATTTATAATTGATTATTAAAAAATAGCTGCTAAAAAAAAGCTTAAATGCAGGAGCTTAGCCCTTGTGAAAGGCGCTAGTTCTTGCATCATTCTTCGGCAAGATACCAAAGTTTCTTATATTCTAGCCTCATTGCTTGTTTTGCAACGTGGGTCATCATTGATATAAATAATAGTAACCAAGTGGTAAAGACTTGGAACTAAGGAATTTGTTTTTTCTGTTATCTCAAGTTTAAGTTCTTGGTTGCTCATATGATGGCCACTGAAGGCTTACATAGTCGTTAATTTTAGGGTTTGTGGTCATATGATGGCCACTAAAGGCTTACATGATCGTTAATTTTAGGGTTCGTGGGATTAGTTATGGTGCACACAAGCTGGCCCAAACACCCACATTAATCTAAAAAAAATAATACGCATCAGATGTGGCATTATTTTGACGTAGAGTAGAATGGAATATCTTGGTTGTTTTCCTAGCCTTTTCCTGTCGCTGTAATGGAGAGGGGGTCAACTGTTAGGGTTAGGTGCGCAAACCACTGCACACAAAGAAAGAAGGAGCCAATCTTTAGGGGGTGGCTATTTGTTTTCTATATTTTCCACCGTCTTTTACTTCCAAGTTGCAACTCATGCCCCATTAACCAATCTCTTCTCTTTGTGTGCTATTTTCATAGTAGTTATCGGAAAGCATCCGAGCAAATAGGGCTCGCATCCGAGCAAATAGGGCTCTTGGAATCAAATCGTCTCCTAGCCCATGCAAGCCTGATCTGGAACTTTTGGGGCTTAGTTAACGCAAACCAGTGCCTGTAGCCCCAACTTTTGTAAATATTACTATGATCTTGCAAGAAAAAAAGAAGCCTAATCATTGAAGAATTCGCAGATCTGAAATTTGATCTGCACTCGTCATTTTGTCTGTTTGTTCTAATGTTGGGCCTATAATAATCTTTTAAATTCAGAGACCCGAAGGGGAAATTAAAATTGCTCTTCCAGCGCGTATGCGACTCGAAGCCACTTGACTCTGCTATCGTGGCGACTTGCGAGTTAATCCAGAAGAGGGAAATAGACTTGAATTGTGAGGAAGGGAGGTAAAGAATCAACAGGGCAGAAGCGACCCCTGTGGCTCTTGAATGTATAGATTGAAAAAAAAAAAAACTTGTGAAATTCTTTTTTTTTTTAATTTTGAATCAATTATTTTTATGTTATTTTAATTATTAGAACTAAAATAATATTTTACAGTATAAATATCTTTATAAATCCTATCAAGTTAATGTAAAAAGTTAAAATAAAAAAAAAAGAAAAAACTATATTCTTTCGATTATAAAATTTTATTTATTTATTTTCATATAAGTTATGTCTTTTTATATATAATTAAATGAGATAATAAATTTTTTTACTAATTTTTCTGATAACTTGAACCAAATTCAGACCAGAACTAATTTAATAACCAACAAAAAGCTATACACAATGTTTCATCTTCAGGCATACGTAGCGTTTTATCCTTAGCTATACACATCGTTTTTCATTTATGTTTCATTTATTTTCAGGGAGAAGATGACCAAGTGTGGTTATATTAGTGTTTAGAATTCCTTGGAAGAATGTTACTGTCACTACAGCTATATCTTGTAATAGAATGGACAAAGAAGGACTTTAGAAAAATTATAATGAATGAATGAACGAAGCAGAAGACTCGGGTGGATCAGTTCTCTTCTTTAACATAATTTCTAGTCTTCCATTTTTGTTACCTCCTTATTGAGGACTTCGGTCCAATTACTGATATTTCCCCTACTCATTCTACTGGAGAATTTGTTGGATGGAACTCGAACTCTCATCAAGTGGTATGAAAGCCGCAAACCAAGTGATGAAGATGTTGGAAGGGTATGGCCAAAAACTAGAAAATATAACATCCAATCACGAAGCTAAGTTTGGAAAGTTGAAAGATCTTATCAGTGGGTTAGCTAGCTTATCAACAAAGTTTTGTCCTGCAGAAACTACAATTATCTATGGGAAAAACCAGTAATGCAAGTAATCAGCAGGTTAATCATGGGGGAGAGTATACTGCAAAAACATAAACCTTAACGAGATTTTCCTAATCTTGATGGTAATGATGTGCACAAATGCCTTTACAAATGGTAAGGAGTCCTGGTAATCAAGGAGTAAGAAGGAATGAGTAGGTAGATGCTTTGTGTTGTAGGTTTGAAGGTAAAAAAGATCCATTCAATAAGCTTGAGGAGATCTTAAACAAACCTATATAGAGGATTTCGTTATCCTATTATATTAATGAGAGATAAGCTTTAGTGTTTTTTAGGGGGGGTTTAGAGGTGGAGATTAAAAACTTAATGAAAATATTTGAGCCCAAAGGTCTAAATCAAGCATATAACGTAGCCAGTTTACAAGAGAATACTCTCTTATAGACATTATCACCACGGTTACTATAAACACTCTCTCCCAAATCATGAACTCAGCCAACCAAACCAGATTTACTCCCATATAAAAACCATCACAAGAATACAATACCCATGACTGCCAGTCTGCCACTTACCAAAAACAATCCAGCTCACCAAACCAACCAACCCAAAACTACCCTAGCAAACCCACCAAATCCATAAAAATGAAGAACATAAAGAACTGGAAGAAAAAATAAACTATATGGTTTCATTCACTAAGGATGACTAGGAAAGTTTGACAAACATTCATTTTTTATTATGGTGGATTATAACAGTGACCATACAAGCGACAATGCAATCTCATTGCTATTAAGCCATTAATAGTGGAAACTGCAAATGAAGATCTTCTAAGAATTCGCAGATCTGAAATTTGATCTGAAAAAGTCATTCTTCTTGTTTGTTCTAATATTGAGCCTATAATAATCTTTTGAATCCTTATAAGATTACAACAAAGATTCTTCAACTTCTACAACTTTACTGGCATCTCAATGTTCTTTCAAATTCAGAGGGGAGATTGAAAAATTAAAACTGAGCGCCTGCTACTCAAAGCCACTTGACTATGCTATATGCTCAGACTTGCAGCAGCAAAAATAAAGGAAGGACAGGCCATTTATATTGCGGCTGTTCATGAAGTGAGAATATATAGGCTGAAAGATCGCAATGCATAGCCATTTGGCATCTTTGTTAGCGATTTCAAAGACCATGACCATGGAACAGAGTAAAGGATTCCGTTGTATTACCAGGGGAAAGGATAAAAGAACGCACACGGGCCAGTTTCAAAATTCCAATATGAGAATCCATTCATTGCAATCTGCTTTATTGCTACAGATACATATATGTACAATTCTGAGGCTACACGCTTAAAGAAGGGGAGGAGAAAAGAATGCAGGCCGTGATACAAACGCCCATGTTTATTAATCAATCTACCCGTGATACAATCTACTGCTGTGGGTGTAATAATGTACATCAAAAATAAAATTGAAGGAAAAACATGGTACAACATGCTGATTGCAAGGGACGAGAGCCTACGGCTAAATGCTTTCTTACCCGCCACAGTTTAACATCACATCTCAATGTCCTCCAGCTCTGGTAGTGGAAATCGCAGAATCGCAGCAACGCCAGTCAACTGAGCCAATTCTGTTTTTGATTGAAAAGAGGGGGGGGAAATGGATTCAGGATAATGAATATGAAACTCACGCTATCCCCTTAAGTAAATAAAAATGATACTCACGCTCTCCTGATGCATGCATTGATGAAAATATATGAACAGTGCCACCTGAATCCTTCACTGAGTTGACTAGGTTGACGTACTTCTTTCTCATTGGTATATCAGCATTCCTGAAACCAGTTGATAACAGGATTAATTTCCATTCATCATCTCAATGAAAACACTCCCGTAACCATGGGTCATAGGTTTATGCCATGTCTAATGCGAGATTCTTGGAATAAGAGAATAAATGATGGTATCGCGTGAGTCTGCCTCCTACTGCTGTCTCATCACCACAGGTTATAAGAACTTCTAGAAAAACATGACATTGTTTCCTCAATGCAGGTTCATAAATATTATGGAATATCCGTATGGAATCAATTAATTGCATGCAATGTGATATTTCTGAATTAACCAACACACTACCGTTCAAAGAGTAATGCTGGGATGCTAACACTCCCTCACTTTTTTTTATTGACAGATGTGACGTATACATTAAATCATGGTGACGAGGATCTTAGCATTAATATGGTGCTTGACATTAATATAAAAACTATCTTAAGTTAACACGTCAGTCATCAGAGAAGAGTTAAGAAAAGTTTTAGCATATCTGGCATTCTGGTTCAAATATTTAGATTTACTCTTATTAGGCTCACCTGAATAACTCATCTGTGATGAGTAGAGTTTGCACGGCCAAGCGTTCATGAGCAACCTCCACGTGCTTTGGTCCATAGCAAGCTCGATCTGGATCCTATCAGAAAACCACAACTTCAATCAAATTTAGAATCTCAGAAATACAACATGAGTGCAAATATAACAAGAAAAGCCGTGCTGAGAATGGTTAGGAAAATAATTGGAAACAACAAAAACTAAAAATCATGCATCTCAAGGAAAGAGCCTCACATTTGAAAGCATGTCAAAGAAATCCTTCAGAACTCGGACCTGAAACAAAGTGGGGATAACAAAAAAGAAATTATTATTGCAAAGCAATTGAAGCAAATACTGGACAGAGAATGCTTCTGCAAACACAACTATGCATTGCACTAGCATTGGGATAAGCATAATTGTTGAACAAGGTAAGACTGAGACATGCTGAAATGTCGGTCAACTTGGGCAATCTAAATTACCTCTTGTGCTGCTTTAGTGTCTTTTATCATATTCATAACATTTGGAGCATCAAGAACCTCTTTCAAACTATGCCTGGCAAAATTTAATGTTAAATAGTTAGAAGCTGCATGTAATAAAAAAAACATCATGATGGGCAGTATGTCCAAAAGATAGCTCATAACCACCTAAACTTTGAAAACACCTTTGTGCAAAACAGTGCCAATACGAGAAAATTCAGGTGCCTCCCAAAAGTGATGGACTACAAAAGTGTAGCTCTGAACTAGCTGTGTCCATAAATGTTACTAGTGTCATATTTGTTCCCAATTTTTCATGAATACCATCACTTCATGCACCAAATGAAAAATATGGACAAAGATCAAGAGAAAGTTTGTGCACTACCAAAAAAACGATACACTACAATAAAAGAAAAGGCACATGTTTGTTGCATAAAATGATGCACAATGAAACAGAATATGTTGTCTGATCCAGGTGAAAAGCAAAGAAACTGGAATGGCAGAAAGAGAACTAGAATGCAGTAAAAACGATGAAGTCCACTGGTTGAATGGCAGTCAAGGACCCAGGCCAATCACACACTATAATAGAGATGCCTTACTGGACTCAAGCAATCAAGGGAGTGGAAGAATCTTATATATAGATGATGTAATGCATGAACATACGAAGTAAAGGGGGCTGAAATGCACTTATTTCCACCAATTATATTGACATGGATCCTAAAACAAGTGTGTCAGGTAGATTTCTAGAAACTTATCACTAATCACCATGCAAAGTATTATCCACTGTTCCGAGCACAGTGAGCCTAGAGGCAAAGATTGCGAGGACCATACTTGTATCCTGAGCTTGTATGCACAAGAACTATGCGTGACTTGTTCTCAATGATAGGCCTCAGCTGTCTCCTCTCTGCCTCCAACAACAAGTGACGATGAAACTGGTCCTGAAACACATAAGAATAAATTTTGAGGTATAGTACACAATACATTATAAAAAATGAGAAGGAAACTCCACAAAAGACATCAAAGCTATAAAGTAGCAGCAGTCCTTTAAATGGAAAAAAAGAAGTATCAGATGAAATCTTTCATTCTAGAAGTGCAGGAAAAAATGATGAAGAATCCAGACCTTTGTGAAACCAGGACTTGCAATCACCGCACACCGAACCACATTAAAATCAACATGTTTCAGAAAAGCCTACAACATATGCATAGAACCCCATCAGTGGTTGTATAAACAAGCACTTCCGTAGTTAAGACAACTGAAGCACACAGTTAATTTTTTGGAATGGAACAAGGTAATGGCAATACAAGTGGGATAAAACTGACCTGTAATAAATGCTCAAAGAACTTATTTAATGCCTGTGAGACATAGAAAGACAATGAGTAAAAAATGAATTGTTAAGTTCTAGTTAATAAGTCCAAGGACCCAAAAGGAGAGGGAAGAACCAGATCCAAAATTCAGAATTCAAGTAAGTTGATCTGTAAATCATAATACAAGTAAAGAAGCATACCGTCTGATAACCAGCTATTGCAGGCCCATGTTTTCGAGGAATTGAAGTTTCTATTTTTGCACGAGTAGTAGTTAAACTGTTACAAATTGACCTCGGCAACATTAGCAAATACATTTAACCCACATTGGCACATTCAAATACCATTCAAACACATTACGATGCAATGGCAATCTCTAAGAGAAAAGGTAGGGACAATTCAATTCTTGATTTTTTACAGCATATATCTCCTTATAATCCAAATCAGTCACACAATTCTTCTATAGGGAAAACATCATCCTGGGAACCAAAACTCACCCCCTTCCAAGCTTCAAAAATGTATTTCCAAATAAATCATGACCTTGAGAACCAAAACTTGACCATTCCCTTGCTAAGCATGCTCCCTAAAAACAAAGGACGCCAGCTGCTCAAGTCACTTCCCCATTTTCCAGCCCCAAAATAGGGACTTGGATTTTCTAAATATTGATGTTGAATGAGAAACCAAAAAATGAAAACGTACAGGTATGCTAAGGGTGCCAATGTCCATACATGCCACATTTCAGCAGATGAGGATGTCACTTTCTAGCCAAGGACCATGCACATTCACAACTAGACAGTTCATGCCAAGATACATCCATGACACACCTCTTATCAAAGGTTTGAGGCACTATGTAATCATTTTTGGCCAAGAATTTGTCACGCTGAAGCACTTGACATGCAAGAACATTTGTGGAGTTTAGCTGGATTAGTCCAACTCAATCACTGTTGGTTTTGGTGAGGTATCAGGAGGCATCTGCCCTAACTCAAATAACCACCTAGACTCTCCTACCTCTACAGACTAGCCAATGGGAATGCACACCCCAGCCTTGGTCCCCACAGGATGGTTTCAAGGTGTTGGATTGCTAACCACAGAGAGTGTTCATGCATTCAGCTCCATATAGATATCTTCCAACAAAGATGAATCACAGAAACTTTAAGACGCATATTACTCATATTCTCAACAAGTTATTTTACCTTCTACCAACAAGCAGGATATGTGCTAATCCTTCTTGCATTAAAACCACAGCAAGATCAGCACTTGCAGCAGGGTCTGAAATTGTAGACAGAGACCATTAGTTAGAAAGTGATTAATCATATTTGTCTATTCTGTAGTAATTTTCTTGAGTAACAAACTATAATCAGAACACAAAGATTTCATATTGCAATGGAGCTCCAAATTGACTTTTTCAAAAAGTCTGGAATGATATCTTCCTGTTATTTACATATGTGACTAGCAGTTAAAGTTCCAAAAAAGAACTTCAATACCACTCATTCCAACGAATATGACAGATAGGAACCATTGGCTGTACAAGAAACACTAACATCTACTAATTTATCTGCCAATATATTCTCAACCAGTTGAAAAATAATGGAAAGGTTTGATGGAATCTTGTAAACATTAATGATTACTAACAATAGTTACAAAGTAATCATATATTCTCCACTGGTAACATCTACTAACTCATCTGCATATATATCCTAGGCCAGTTGAAAAATAATGGAAAGGTTTGGTGGAATCTTGTGAAATATTAACAACTAAAAAGGAATTTAAAAAATGAATAATTTCATCTACACACATAAAGGCAGGGATCTCCAAACAGAGGATGCTGTATGAGCACCCAGCCTTAATAATGTAAGTTTAAAACTGCTAATTTCAACAGATAATTTTTGACATGTCAAGAGTTCTGAAATTCACATCGATATGGCCAAGAAAGCAAACAAAGTTGAGTGAAGTCCAAATAAGATCAATGGCAAGCTTATAACAGGGTGGTTGGCATGCAAACAAGTTCAAATTATACACCTTTTACTAAGGAAAGAACTAACAAGGAAAGTGAGTAATTGGTGAATTAAAACTACATACCAGAAGCCTGATTGAGTACATGCAATGCCAGCGAGTCCCAAAGTTCCTAGAATATATTGCAGTTCACAAGCTACAAGTCAATAAGCCAGTGACATAGAAAACAAGGATACATGCATAGAAAGTTACCAAACTGTATCTCTTGAAAACAAGTTATTGTAACCTTCATTTGGGATGATTATTACCTGTATTAACCATGAAACATGGTTCTCATATTTTTGGAAGAATTTCAAATTGTAAATATGATTTTATGTTCCCGAGTTTTGAAAGCTCAACATCAAATATTTACACTGCAAACAGCATATAAGGTAACATGAAGCTTGAAAAACCTACATTACAGAATTTTATATGGTCATAGCTCGTTTGGACATCACTCATTCAGTAGTAGTGCAGGCTGGAAAAGCTTGAAAAAACTGAGAGATTGCTTGTAAGTAAGCAAATTACATGCAAGACTAAAAAAGAAATATATGTTTTCCCTTCATAAATAGTACAGAAAAAAATAAGCTGCAGAATTCCAAAGCATCCATAAATTTTAAAAAAAGTCAAAGCAGCTCAACCGAGCATAAGCAAGCATACCTTTCTCAAAACAAAAGGTCGATGCAGCTCAATTTCTAGTGTATGAAATGCTCCAATCTGCAACGAAAGCATCAATGAGCTCCCTCATAAACAAGATAATTCGTTTTTTTTCCTTTTAAGAACCCAGGCTAAAATAATGCTTCGCATACCTTCACATATTCGTTCTCCAATACATTCTTTCCACGAATTCGCAGAACAGACCCTACTTTATCATATTCTATAGCCTTAAACAGTATAAAAACAAATACAGAACTCTGTTAGTTATGCTGATAACAACAAACAACATGCAGCAGGAAGGAAATAAGAAAAGAATAGCAAAAATTCCAATATTTTATATAATAATAATAATAATAATAATAATACCTCAACTTTGATTTCTAACTTGAGCTTAACACGCTCCGCATCTCTTCCAGTAGACGTCTCTCTCAAAACTTTCCTATTTATAACAATTATGTTTAACCTTGTAACTGATCAAAAAAATTTTTAAAGAAAATTTGAAGAAGATAATTTTTTTAAAAAGGAATACCTGACAGTAACAGCCATAACAGAATCTCCATGAGCTATCAAATTGTAGACAAACCAAAGATCATCTGCATCAACCGGCGTCATCTACACATTCCATTCACATGAATATATTTTTTTAGAAAAAAGGTTGCATGTCAAACCCTAGAAAAAGTAAATTGAGAGAAATTGAAATTGCTTGTACCTTGACGCTACCAGGTCCGCCTGGTACAAGATCTCTTCTATTGATCTTCATGGTATCTCAAAAATAAATAAATAGCTATATTTTCGTATGTTTTGTTGGCAGAAAAATTAAAGATGGAGGGGGAGGGAAGGAGATATGAGCTGTGGGTTTTCACGGTAAAGCACAAAGCAATCTGCGTGCAGGAGAGAGATTGGGCGTGTGAGCGTGCGTTTTATAGCAGTCGGATTGTGTCGTCCGACCGAGGGATGGATAAATTGGCATAGTCCGACAGAGGGATGGATAGATTAGTTGGATACTTCAAATGGGCTGTCTCGTCCAGTGTCTTGTTTCGGGCGTTTTGCGTTATAGCAATGGGCTGGATCATGGTTCGAGGGGTTTCAGAGTACTGCTCTTTACCTTGTTTGATAATTAAATTGGATAATTGTAAGTTGAGTCCTTTTCTTTTATTATTCTATATTTTATCTATTTATTTCATGGTGTCTCTTTTTCCATGCTAAAGGAAAAAAAAATGATAAACACAGAGAAAAAAAAGTAGATGGTTAAACAAATCCTCTATAATATAAAATATAAAGAAATAATCTTTTAACATGTTAAATATAAGCTAAGGCATGGCTTGAAAAAATCTTCATGTTAAAGGCTATAACACGAGGTAACTTGATATAATATTTTGTTTATAAATAAATTATTTAAGGAGAATGAATGAAAATAAATAACCTTTTAGTTCTTTGTTTTTCGATCGATTCTTGAATCATATAAGGTCTAAAAGGGTTTATTTAGATTTATTTATTATTTTTTTAAGTATTTTTCAAGTTAAAATAATTAAAAATACGTTTCTAAAGTTTACCATAACTTTTTGGTAACCTTTAATTGTTTATTTCTTACTATAAATTACAATTCATCTATTTTATCAAAAATAAATAAAAGTTGATGACATGTCATTAAACCTTTAATATTGAAAAAAAAAAGGAGGCATTCTACATGAACCATGTCTCTTTTAATGGGTATTTGCCTATAAGTTAAATCTTTTTTTATAGTTATTTTCAAATTCAATATAAACTAAAAAAACCACAAATCAATAAGTCACTAGATTAATTAAAATTTATTATTTTTATTTAAAATAACAATATTTGAGTTTAAAAAAAAAAACACTTGGTTTGGATTTGATGGGCTTTGATAAAGTCAATTAAATTGCAAATTAACACTTCAAGTCACTTGGTTTATTCAAATCAACATCAAAACCAATTCAAATGAAAATTGGTGTGAATTTTATTTATTTATTATATTTTTATTGTTTGGTTACAAAATAATTTTTTATTTTTATTTTTAAAATTTCTATGCTCGTTGATACTTTTTATTTATGAATATTTTAATTTTCAATAACTAACCGTAAAAATAGTAAGAGATTGATGAAAGAACACATTTTTAATGATTTACAAATACATGAACTAATTAAAAAGAAAACAAAAATACAAGAGAATGAATACCAAATATATAATTGGCTCATGTTAGATGGGCTAGCTATATGATTTTCTCTATTTTGCATTGAATTAGGCCCTTCTAGCCTAGTGTTGGGCCTGTTGAAATGTAAATAAACCAAAAAGTGTTATTAGGCTGAGTTAAATATGCAGACAAAACTTCATAAGGAAATGTAGAGCTAGGCCATGCCATAAGCATTTTTCGGCCCTGAGCTCACCCAAATCGCGACAAGGAAACTAGGATCTTATAATACTTCTTCAAACCTAAACACATAAAGAAAAGAGGGAAAGTTTGAGGAACCTGACCGCGTATCTTTCAAGCACATCACAAAATGGTTTCCTTCAAGGTATGTAGCAACAATATCCTCAGATTTCCTTAATTTGCTACTTTTCATGGATGTAAATGATAAATTTTTTAATTCTTTTTATGATTGTGTTGGAAATAGTTTCACCAATACCAAATGGTTGAGAGAGCACTTCCAAATAAAAACGATGAGCATCCCAAAATCCACCGCATGAAAATTTGGGCCACTAATGATATCCATTCAAAATCAAAGTTCTAGTCAGTGGTGTCACTTAATTTCCTCATTAATTTATCTTTTGCTGGTTTTTGAATATTGTCTATGCACGCGCGCGTGTATTTTTTTTAATAGGTGATTCTCTTATGCTATGATGGTTGATATGTTTTAGGTACTTTTTTAGAAAACTTAAGAAGGTCAACAAAAGCAATGGATAAATTCTTGTAATAAATGAGATATGTGTGATCTCATGTGCGTGTCTTTTGATGTTGCCTTTTATTAAGAGAGAGCTAATTTAGGTATTGAGGATATTTTTTATTGTTTTATTGCATGGTTTTGGTGAAGTTTTGGTAAATGAAATATAGTGGTGTTGCTTGTTTTACCTCATAATTATTGTGGTTGTAAAATACAAAGGCATGAATTATATGGATTTGTGGTGTTGAGTTGCCATCATTTTCTTGTTGGAAACTTAGAGGGATTTTGGTGAAAACTGATGTTTGCTCTCCTTTATTGTTTATTGAAGAGAATTATATTCAACATATGTTTATGAATAAAACGAAACACAAACCTTTTTTGGATTTATAGCTCCATAGTTTTGCTCTATTATATGTGGTTTTGGATGATATTTCATTTTTCTTGTTATAAGTTTATGAATAAAATGATATAATTTGAAATGTTGTTTTGATCTTATACTTTTTCTGCTACTATTTTGATGCAACTATTTATCTTATATTTTGTGAAATTATTATTCATGACTATCATATGGGCATCTTGGATAATTCAACTTATTAGTCATGACTAATGGTATTTGAGATCTTTTGGGTCCTTGTTCTCTCTATCCTACTATATGTTCTCTTCTTGCTCTTTATATTACACTATTGTTTCTTAGGAAAATCATTCTATTTGTTTAGAAAATATTCCTTGTATTGAAAAGATAATCAGGGAATTAGCCTTGAAAGCAAGACAAGAGAGAAAATTCCAAAAGAAGATGAAATGTTATGTCCTCAACCCTCTAAAACGAGGGTTTTAATTTGAAATTGAATTAGAGTTAAAAGAGAGGTGAAATGCTATATCCTTAGTGATTTATGCTAATGTGATGAAATATAAAGTTCAACTCCTTGATAAGGTCATACCAGTGGAAGTGTTTAACTTATAAAGAAATATATTTAGTTTTACAAAATATTAAAGTAATTTTAGTAACTATAGATTCCCTAAGTTTATAATTAAGCTTTTATTAATTGAAAAAATTAAGCTATCAAATCTTTAAATTATAAAATTACTTCTCATGGAATAAAATTTAGTGGCAAAATCTATCCACATGCTTTTTAGCTTACACCTACCTTTTTATGTGTTGGTACATGTCTTACCAACTTGTAAAAAAGTATTGATTGATCCCACTAACTCTATTATGTGTGGATTCAGGCTAGTTATATGGAACAAGGTTGCAATTTCTATTTTGTTTACTCAGCTTGAATATTAATGTGCTAGAACCTAAATGTTGGAACTAAATTTTACTTTTTTGAGAGTGCAACTTTTGAAAGGATAGCTTAGAAAATTCATTTTGACTGATGTTAATAATGACTTTTTATGTAAATACCCTTGGATAATTTAAATTTTGAATGCTAGCATGGAGAACATTCTATAACTTTTCTTTCTAGATGCTTTTCGAGTGAAGTTTCCCTTTAATCAAGGAAAGGTCACACAATTAGTTGGTTAAGACATCTCACAAGAAATGATTTCTATTGATAATCTATCTTGATAGTTTTTCAGTATTAAAATCTTGTTCTAGATTTAGACTCATCTTAAAGGGAAATGTTAGCACCATTTGTTATACTTTTAAAATGAGTTGTTTTGTGCAAGAACAAGAATCACAGGCATTTCTGCTTTTTAAGTGTGTATTTTTGTTTTAAGAATTTTTATATATAATTCTATGTTGTAGATTTTTTAGAAGAATCCTACCAAGATCAAGAATTTTGGAATATGGTTGCGCTACTAGAGCAGAATAGGTTATCACAACATGTACAAGGAATACAAGGACATTACTTTGAATGGTGTTGTTGAGTAGATGTACACCGAGATGGCATCTTGCCACAGGGTTAGGTTTCCATGCATCCAGATTATTAAGACTGCTACCATCCTCACGAAGCTTTGCAAGAGAGAAAGTACCAAACATTTTCATAATTCTAAAATCAAGTTCTTATTGGTGTTCAAGAAGGTTAGACCCCCACCGAGAAAGCTCAAGATAACATACAAACCATCTAGGCCCAAACTGTTTATGTAATTTGGTTGGTCAGTTTGCTGATTAAAATTTGTTAAAGTAAAGTTTATTAAAGGTAGATCTTTTTCATGAATCTATTCATTTGGTAGCTCATTCTGCATTTACTATTGTTAACCTTTAAAGTTTTGAAGATTATATATTTTGTTGTCCGTTTTCTTTTTGAATTTTGTGCTTATTTGATGTTGTAATGTAGACTATTTGGGGCTTTATATTGGCATTATCAAATGATTATGGAACTTTTTATGCTTTTGAAATTGATGCTTTATCAAACTTTTAAAGATCATATGCTTTGAAAATGACGCTTCTTATAGCAATCTCGATTATAATGAAGCAATTTTAGGCTCATAAATTTTTTTAAAATGGTGAAAAGAAAATCTTACCTCAACACCTAGTGGAATGACTTTTTTTAAGGGCATATTTGTAATTATATCATTCTAATAAATAGTATTTTGTCTTGCATACTTTTTAAAATATTTTTCACCTGAAAATATATTAAAATAATCAAAATAATACAAAATAATAATTAATTTTTTTAAAAAAATAATATTCAAGTTTAAAAATAATACTATTTCAAAAAACATTTCCAATACCAAACAAACATTAATTTTTTTCTTTTAATTTATAAAATTTTGGGAGAACAGACACTAAATATAAGACTGGCTTATGTTAGATGGTGTAACTATATGATATCTCCACTTGCATTGAGTTAGGCTTCTGTTGGCCCAACAAGACCTAGATTTGGGTCTCTTAAGATGCAAGTGGACCAATAAGTGCTTTTCGACCGAGTTCAATATGCAGAACAGACTTGACAAGGAAATATGAGGCAGGGCTGGAACAGTTCAGGGCTTAGAGTTCACCCAAACCACGACAAGGAAACTATGGTTTTCAACCCACTATAATACTTCTTTAAAATCTAGACACAGAGAAAAAAGAGAATGTTTGAGGAACCCGACTGCTTCTCTTTCAAGCACATCACAAAATGGTTATCTCTAGGATATGTAACAACAATATCCTCAGACTTCCTTAATCTACTACTTTTTATGGATTTAAATGAGATGAATTTTAATTCTTTTCGTGATTGTGTTAGAAACAGTTTCACTAGTACCAAGTGGTTGAGAGAGCACTTCCAATCGATAATGATGTGCATCCTAAGATTTACCACATGAAACTTTGAGCAACTAACAAGGTCTGTTCAAAATCAAAGTTCTGATATATATTGTCACTTCATTTGCTTAATAATTTATCTTTTATTATTTTTCAAGTCTTGTATATATGTGTGTGAGCTCGCACACACTCATTCTTTAATGATATAATGATTGACATGTTTTAGGTACTTCTTGAGGAAGCTTAAGAAGGTCAAGAAAAACAATGGTCAAATTCTTGTCATTAATGAGGTATATGATCTGACATGCTTTGCAAAACATCTATTGATATTGTCTTACAAGTAAGATAAGAGTTGATTTGGTCATTAAAGGGTTTTTTGATTTTATTTTTTTATTGCATTATTTCAGTTATCATGAAGTATGTAGACCTGTGTTTTTGAGTTGCCATCATTTTTTTTCTTTAAACGTAGAAGGATTATGGTGAAAAGTGATGGGTGTTCTTTTTTTTTATCAGTAACTTTTTTTGTTGTTAAAGAGAATTATATTTAGTATATGCTTATGATTAGAATGAAATATTGAACTTTTTTAGATTTGTCACAATAATTCTGCTCCACTATATGTGCTTTTGGTTGGTATCCTATTTTTCTCATTATAAATTTGTTTTTATATCCTATTTTTCTTGTTATAAATTTGTTTTTGCAACTAAATTAATGATATAATGTGGGAGGTTGTCTTGTTCTTGCTGCTACTGTCTTAATGCAATTGTATATCTAATATTTGGTATTAGTTCAATTTATTAGTTATGACTAATGGTATTCGAGGGCTTGTGGATGGTTTTTTACTATCTATACTACTGTATTTTCTTTTTCTCTCTCTATCTTACACTGTTATTCTCTTGAAAAATCCTTCTATTTGTCCAGAAAAAGTTCTTTGATTGTAAAAGATAATAGTGAAATTAGATTTAAAAACAAGATAAAAGTAGAAAATTTCAAAATAAGATAAAATGTTATGTCCTCAGCCCTCTAAAAGGAAATGCTATGTCTTAGGCATTTTAGGCTAATGTGATGAAATTTAAGGTTTAACTTAGATCTATCCTGACTTTTTTAATGATGAAAGGTTACCACTTGCTTTAGTGGATTTGTTTTAAAAAAGATTAAATAAAGTTTTAGTGATGATAGATTGACAAAACTCATAATTGAGCATCTGTTAATTAAATCAAGTTATGAACTCTCTAAATTACAAAATTTCTTTCCTAGAATAAAATTCAGTGGTCAAATCTTTCACATGCCCCTAATTTAAACACCTATATTTTTATGCATTGGTGAATATCCTACCAACTTGCAAAAATATATGGACTAATTACACCAACTCAATGATACGTGGATTCGTGGTGGGTTCATAAAATAGACTTGCAATGTCTATTTTTTTTCTTTAGCTACTTGTATGCTTGTATTTCATGTTGGAACCTAAATGTTGGAACAAAAGATGTAGAACCTTTGAAAGAATATCAAAAAGAATCATTTTGACTTGTGTTTGTAATGGCATTTTGCTTAAGTGCTTCTGTTCTTTAATTAGGAGAAAATCACAATTAACTGGTTAATTTCACTCACAAGAATTAAGTTTCTATTGATAATCTTTTGTAATATTTTTTTCTTATTAAAATTCTACAGTATATTTAGATCAATCCTTGAAAGGAAATATTAGCAATATTTATGGTGCTTCTAATTAAGTTTTTTCATGAAAGAACAAGAATCACAAGCTTTTCTACTTTTAGGTTGTGCATTTGTGTTCCAGATATTTTTATATTATGATTTTTTCATTGTAGATTTTTTAGAAGAATCCTACTAGGATCGTTATCACAACATGTATAAGGAATACATGGACACTACTATGAATGGTGTTGTGGAGCAGATATAAAGTGAGATGACATCTTGCCACAAAGTTAAGTTTCCTTGCATTTAGATCATTGAAACTACTACCATCCCCGCTAAGCTTTGCAAGAGAGAGAGAGAGCACCAAGCAGTTCCACAATTATAAAATCAAGTTTCCAATGATGTTCAAGAAGGTTAGACCCCTTACAAGGAAGCTCAAAACAACATACAAGGCATCTAGGCCCAACCTGTTTATGTAATTTGGTTGGTCAGTTTGCTTAATAGAATTATTAAAGTAGAGCTAGATCACTTTTATGGACCTATTGTCTTGGAAGCTCATTTTGTATTTACTATTGTTACCTTTTCAAGTTTTGAAGATCATGTGTTTTGCTAAGTAGGCTGTTTTTTATTTGAATTTTGTGCTTATTCAATGTTATAATGGTAACTTTTTGGTGCCTTGTATTGGTGTTGTCAAATGATTATGAAACTTCTTATGCTTTTAAAGTTGATGTTCTATCAAAGTTTTGAAGATCATGTGCTTATTTGAGATTGCAACGTGTTCCATTTAATATTTTAGTGGCAACACGAAGGACTCGGAGTAGTCAAAATGTTTCTCAGGGGAGCATTTTGATGCAAATGGGACGTAAACATCTGAACTTGTATAGCACAACAGCTACTCGGAGGCATTGGATGATATCGATAGTTTAGTTGAGTTGTTGGTGTTTGATAGCGGTCCACAATTTTTTGACTGAAAAGCAAGATAGTTTGGCAACTTGTCACTCATATAATTCACTCATATAATTTCAGGGTTTTAGTTCAGAACTGCCTTCTCAGATTTTTGATCACTAGGCCATCGGTTGCTTATGGAATTCTAATGTTTTCTTCTTCAGATTGTAATCGTCAGGTTGAATGGCAAATATGAACACTTAGCCTATGCAGCTATAAATGGGGTGTAAAAGGAAAAATAGATCTCTTTTCCGTGCTCAGAGGCGAGTCTGAAGACCACCAATACGCATCTCATCTCAGCCAGCTGTTTATATATATATATATATTATAAAGATGACTCGGATGGGAAAAGTACAGGTTATCGTAACAATCTCTAATGAAATTTATGATTACTGCTTGCCCTTGAGCTCAAGAGATTTCCTTGTACCGGAGATGTCCTGCGGAACAAATTGCAGGGCAAATCAAGCTGAGAAGATATATAGAATAAGCCCAGAAGTTACAAAATTTCTCAATATTGCGAAAGTTGTGCGGCACTAATTGTCTGGCATACGGACCCCCAGGTTCCTTCGTGCTTATTTGCGAATCACTAGCTAGTTCACAAAGCATGAAAGTAGACCCTCTGGGAACATCATACCGAAACGTATTTGTTTTACCTTGTATTCAACCATGAGTCCCGGACCACTCATATCATTAGAGGATCATCATCAACTACAAAGCTCTACTGGAAAGCCCATCTTGCTGAAGAACGTGCAGAAACCCATTCTTATCCTGTAGTGCGATGACTTTGTAGAACCCAAGCAACAACAATAGTTTGCAAAAAGTTTTTAAGAATGTCAAAAAAAGTTAAAAAAGAAAGAAAGAGAGGAAGATGCCATTAAACGAAATAAAAGGTCGCAAGCAAAAAATCAATTGAAGCTAATTTCAATGGGCAAATTGTAAGGCAGTTCATCTAAATTTACATTGAAAAGAGAACATGCACTCAACACACATACATCAAGCTCGAAACTCAGAAAAAAAGAAGAAGTTAAAGATCCCTATGAGACGCCTTGGAAGGACAAACGATCACGTAGGGTGTCAAAAATTGATGAAGCTGCTGTATTTTGTGCAAAACTCAATTTCAATCGACCAAGCAATTCACCGTCTTTTGCCTGAGAAGCAGCATCAGCAGCTTCCTTTGCCATGCCAATCCGAGCATATGCCTGCAAAAATCAAAGATGGGACATTGAGCAAAGGTGACTAGAAAAACAGATAAAAAGGGAGAAACAAAAACGCATGGTCTGAGTACCTCAGCTCTTTCTCTGGGATCTGCAAGTTTTGGAATATATTTCAGTGCTTCAGCTTTCTCATCCACATCAATGCATGCTTCCACAAATGGCCTGAAACCTATTAGATGCCCCCCACCCCAAACCCAAAATAAAATAAAATTATAAGATATCATATGGCTGTCATATAACAGGACCTATAAAATGTCCATGGTAACAGTTTATCAATTAAGATCTCATTCCAATAATTGAGATTTCTAATTTGAATCCCATGCATTCTGATTCTAAGGAAAACAAAGGTGGAAGAAATAAATTGCCAAGCAAGGAAGATGCAATTAATTAATTTACTTCCTTTTGCTGTCCTCCAAGATCAAACAACCAAGAGATCTTACCCATTGGTGGTCTCTTCTCCTTCGAAAACTTTTCCAGGGCTTCCCAGTCTCTAATGGTTACCAAAGCAAAAACTTTAAGCCAGTACCATCTCTTCTCAGAAACCTGAGAAAAGTTAATGTCACAAAAGGGAAGATGAATTTTGTAGCCTGAAAAAAAAAAAAACTTCGAACATATGGACACAAACAATATTTTTATTGCATCAGCTAAGTGTATAGAATTCAGTTACAGACAGACAAACAAATTGCATGTATGTTAATTATACTCATGGCAAGAAGCACCAGTGAAACCCTAATTTCACTCTTCAAATGGTGAGCAAACATAGTAAGGTTAACAGACCTTAAACTCTGTTTTAACTCTCATTGCAGCTCTATGATTTCCCAATGCAATACATGTTCGAATTGTATCACTGATGCTTGAATCTACAAAGATGGGCTGCTTTGTAGAGACTTCTAACTCATGTTGAATTCTGCAAAAAAAGATCTAATCAGAAGGGAAAAGGAGTTCATACAAGTTTATAACTCAGCAAAATTTAGCACATCCTTCACCAGAAAAGGGGAAAATATGGACCAAGGAAGAGGGGTATAGGGAAATACAAAAACTGCACTGACAGGCAAAGCAATATCATAAATCTAGAAATAACATTTCACCATTGATGATATTGTCATTTGAGTAATTATGAGAAACTCATTTACCTTAAAATTTCTACTATTCACTAAACACCCTTTCAGTCCAAATCACTCCAAAATTCAATTTGGAGGGGGAAAATATTAGTCTTGATATTTTACATGACTTAGTGCATTTAGTAAACACATTTTCCAAGTGCTTCTAGTTTTCTACTAGACTGGAAAATTGCCCACAAGTAAGAATCACCTTTATTTGTTAATAGCAAAGGCTCACTGCTAATTAATTGGATTATGCATCTATTTTCTATTAGTTTCTAGAGAATGAACACATTACATCATCTTTGCATGTAACTGCTATAATAGAACTACATAAACTATTGTGACAAACATTACATTGGAGATAGATGGAATAGACAGATGGTCAACAACATATTCAGTGAACTAGCTGGCATCTTACCTCAGTAGCTTTGCATGCTCTTCTGCTGCTTTCGACTCAAAGGTATGTTCCTTGGTCTCTGAAAATAGATTGTGGGCCTTTTCAATGAGTTTTATGCGTGGACCGTGAAGTGGAGATCCTTTACTGCCCATTGGATTTTTCCCTAGTTCCCACGAATCTTTCCATAGGAGAAAAGCCACATCCTGTAAAACCAATTTAACTTTCATATTAAGACAGAGAAATGGAGTGATTAATATTAAATTAACCAGATATGCAGCACAACTTTAGACCAACTCAAATGCTGACAATGTCAATGGGTAATTGGTATGCGAAAAAAAAAGCTTTGACAAACAAAACAAAATTGATAGGCATCATTGATGGGAGCACATAAAGCCTGACCCATTTTGTTATGTTGCAAATGTGTGCATGCATCATGAGAGAGAGGCCCATCCTTCTTACAAATTCACATTTATCATTACAATTAATTAGTCATTAATACCTGAAGGAATTGGATCACCTCATTTAGTCAATTTACATTAAGAATTTGAATCTAAACTACCATTTGCTAAACCCAAGGTGGTCTGTCATCCATAAACATCCTGGTCCCTCACAAAAACCGCACATGCATAAATGCACAGAGCGAATTCACTTGCAATATATTGCAAATTAGAGGATCATACTTGCACCCACTAAAGCTGGTTGAGGTTTTCACAAACTCTGATCCTTAAACTATGGAACAGTGTCATGATGGCATGATTTCTATGCAATTACATGGTACCGACAAGTATTAAAAAATCTCATTGATACAAATAATTTAGTAGAAGGATCAGGCATCAAAGTATGAGGGATTTTCTTGACATTTCAAAAATAATATACCACGCTAAATGAGTTGAACCATTATAACTTGCACTATATTTAACTCTGCAGTATGGCAATTCATCACCAAAGAATCCCTCCTTTTCTGGCTACCACGCATTCACATAAAGCAACATATGAAAACTGACCTATTACTTGCTACTCTGTTCCATGACAATCAATTCAAAGTACAACAAAGGAAAAAAATCACAGGTTCTTAACCAATCATGAAGAACTTGAACCTACTTGAAGTTGTCCTGTTGATAAGAAGAAGTCTTTCAAGAATTCATGCTTATAACACCTGGAAAAGAAACCCAAATGTAATCATGCAGCAAAAGGAGAGATTGAAAAAAAGTCTTTCAATGCATATATATTACACAAGAAACTGGAAAAAAGTCACATGTCAGCATGCATTAAATGGATAGAAGACATGAATTATTGGATGAGAAAAGCTTTGCAAATTAGAGTTCTTAGAATATATCAGAAAACATGCAAAAAATTTAAAATTAGTTCCAGAAAACAACTGTATTAGACAATTTTATACCTACCGCGCATAAGCTATAAATAAATCACGAGCCAGAGGTCTGGCCTGTATTGTTCCAAAAAACTCCAAGGCTGGCCTCTGCATAAACAAGGAAAATAATCCAAGATGGTTCAAGTGATTGATGAATCAAAAGTACTTCTGCTCATGCTTCATTTATATAACCCCAAATTTAGAAGCTAGTTTATAAAATTTAAAGGAAGCAATTACCTTTTGCCAGATATGAAAAAGGACAAGGTAAACAAGGTCAGCGTCACCACTTTCAGTTGCCTTCATTAGAGCTGTATCTTCCTCTGCTATACTTAACAATAAAGGAACCTAAAGTGAAAGGAAAAAAAAATCAGTAATAACTCAGAAACAATAGCCATTTCTCTTCAAAAGGACAACAATGAAAACTACTATAATATTCAAACAAAAAAAAACCTGTTTTGAGGAGCGTGGTTCATGATCAACAAGCATAGCAGCCAACTTCCGGCGGCCACTCCTATCTGCATGAGCAGCAACAGCTGCATAGGAGATTCCCTTGCATAATTTCAGCTGCAACTTGAAAAACATCATTTCAGATGTTGCATTGACATTACATGAGAAAAAGAACAAACAGCTGACTTCCAGAGCCCTTGAGGTTAACCTAACAACGATCAAAAGAAGCACAAACCTTATCAAGTAAGA